AGAAAGAAAGAAAGAAAGAAAGAAAGAAAGAAAGAAAGAGAGGAAGAAAGAGAGGAAGAAAGAAAGAAAGAGAAAAAGAAAGAAAGAAGAAAGAAAGAAAGAAAGAAAGAAAGGAAGGAAGAAAGAAAGAAAGAAAGAAAGAAAGAAAGAAAGAAAGAAAGAAAGAAAGAAAGAAAGAAAGAAAGAGAAAAAGAAAAAACTGGAAAGGGGAGAGAGAGAAAAATTTAAGCATTAACTTCTTTCAATAGGGCAGGAGAAATTAGTCTTACAATTATCCAAGCTATTCTGTATATATACATGAATAGATCTTTTTCCTTCCTTCCTTCCTTCCTTCCTTCCTTCCTTCCTTCCTTCTTTACTTCTCTTGTCCTTTCCCTCACCCTAGACATTCCTTTCTTTTGGATAGATTACTTTTGCTTTCACAGTATCTGTTGTAAATTTCAGGCTTTATGCACCCTTTCAAGTTCTGGCGCTAGGGAGACACTATGGTTGGGTCTGATTTACACATGTCGGTTTGATTCATTTCACTTAAGTGTTTGGTCTCAAGTTGCATCCATTTACCTAAAATGCATCGAGGCTATCATTTTTATAGTTCAGTAATACTTCATTCTGTAAAAAAAATCATTTTTTATCTATTATTCAGTTAATGGGCACTAGTGTTGTTTCCAAGATTTACCTATGACAGATTGTGCTGCTATAAATACAGGTGCATATATATCATTGTGCTATGTGATTTTCAGTTCTTCTGGAAAACTACCCTAAAGTATAGTAGCTGGGATGAATGACAACTCTAATCCTAATTTTTTCAGGAATCTGCACATTAATTTCTATAGAGCTTGTACAAGTCTATTCTCCCACCAATATTGGAAAAGTGCTTCTTTTTTCCAACAGCCTGTCCAGAATTTGTGACTGGGTTGTCTTGTTGATGATCGCCATTCTTTCTGGGTTGAGATGGAATCTCAGTGTTGTTTTAATTTGAATTATTCTAATGACCAATTATCTTGAACATTTTTTCATAAATTTATTTGTCATGTGTATGTCTCCATCTGAGAAGTATATACTTACGTTACATGCCAATCTTCTGCGGAGGTTTTTGAATTTTGGGAGCCTGATTTTGTTATGTTCTTTATATGTTCCAGATAGAAGACCTTTGTGTGAAGGACAGTTGACTAAAGGTTTTTACCAAATTTTGGGTTTTCCATTTACTCT